TAAATATTACTATCCAAAAAATGAGCGCGATCTGTCGGACAGTTCGTTTACGGCAGCTGTTGAAACCAGTTCACCTCAGTAGTGCGTTGCGAAAAAAACAATGGAAAAAAATATTGAACAAAGAGTTTGCATCAAATTTTGTTTTTCGAACGAAATTTCGTGTGCAGAATCGTTGCGAATGCTACAAAAGGCTTATGGGGAATCAGTTTTATCGAAAACTCAAGTTTATGAGTGGTACAAAGCCTTTCAGGACTGTCGTACGACCGTCGAAGACATGCCGCGTTCTGGACGACCTTCGACCTCTACCACCGACGAAAACATTGAAAAGGCAAAGGAAATCGTGTTCAAAAATCCTCATGTGAGTGTTAGAGAGATAGCACGAGAGCTAGGCATCGGTCGTGAGATGGCTCGTTTGATTTTGGTGGACAATTTGTGTATGCGACGTGTCAACGCCCGGCTTGTTCCGATTCACCTCAATTTGTTCAACATTATCAACGATTTTAAGGCCAAACATTCAATAAATACCATCGAACAGCCACCGTATTCACCTGATCTTGCACCGTGTGACTTTTTCCTGTTTCCCAACCTCAAATTACCACTCAGAGGAACGCGTTTTGAATCCATAGAAGACGTAAAACAGAATTCGCAGAGGGAACTCAAAGCCATACCGGAAAGCGCCTAGTAAAAATGTTTTGATGACTGGAAGAAACGTTGGCATTGCTGTATCGCTTCTAATGGAGCATATTTTTTGAAGGAGATAAATACAATATTGATGAAGATTCAAGAATTTTGCGAGTTTTATTTAAAATTTCCGGAAGCTTTTCGGTCACAATGTACATTAAATAATTAAATTAAAACAATATAAAGCAATATTTATATCATTGTGGACATACGGTTCACAGCTATGGAGAATTTTAGTTGGGATATTCTTCAAAGATACTAGTCAACGGCGATTAGTATGATTTCTAAATCCATATAGTCTTTAACCAATAAAACGATAAATAGGGCTTTCGTAGTATCAAGTATAACACTAGGCATGTAAGCAGTTAGGTAAGCAGTTAAATAAATCCTTAACCAGATGCATCTTCATGATACTGTTACTGGCCCTTTCTTCATGATACTGGCTCTTTTGGTGTTTATTCGTTCTCCTTAGTTCTTAGTGCAGTTATGTTGGCACTTTTTTGTTGTTGCATTACATTAAAATGTAAAAGTATCCACTACTTTCTAATAAGAATGTTTTCAACGTTTGGTTTAATAATGTTGAGGATTATTTTATATAACAATCCTATATACATTTATTATAATATAAATATGTATTATTAAAGAATTAAATTAAAAATTAATTAAAAATTTTATTTTTGTTATTTACTTTGAAATTAACATACTTGGATATTGCTTACTTAAAAACTAATTAAATAGATAATATTAAACTAAATTTTTAACGCTATCTTTTCATCTTTTCTGTGTTTAAGTAAATGAAAATAAAATTATTATTAAAATTTCTTTACATTACCTTTCTTTACGCCAACAAAAGAAAAACAAAAAAAAACATTCATGTTTCCTGTTTTTAGCAAATTTAAACATGAATACTCACCTCACCTCACATGTCACAATACAAAGGAAAACAGTTTGTTAGTTTATTGGATACGCCTGAAAAAACAAACGGATTTCTCACATTGGCGGCAAACGGCGGTGGCATACTTTTCAAATTATTCGCTTAATTACTCAAACAGAAATATTAAATGTTAAAATCAAGGAAAAGTGCTTTTAAACACAATTTTTTTAACTTTAAACTTCTTTTATTTTTTTTTTAATTTACTCTCATTAAGCAATTTTATGACGTTTTTAGTATTTCAATAAAACCATAAATCAGGTTAAATCTGACCGAAATTCAATTAAGTAATGCTAAATAAAGCGAACCCAGCCAAACTGTCTACGCTTATCCGTTTATCTTAGTTTTGTGTATCTGTCGTATCTGGTGTATCTGCTGTTTGTCTCGTTTAATCTAATAATAAAAATCAAATTCTAGCTATTTTTATAATTCTGTGTCAAGGCCAATAAATAGAAATATTCACATGTATAAGTTTATAGTATGAAAATATATATGTATATATAGAATTTACATACAAATATACAATATTATTAATCGCACTGCACGTAATAAATATCGTTATTATAGTGCAAATAAAAATAAAACAATATGTACAGATGTCGTCATGCATATGGGATACTTTATTACGTTATATGTACATTATATTATAACAATAAGATACTAAGCTATAGTAGTTCGAATGTGTGGGACTTACGTAAACTTTTAACATTTTTTATTTTTACTTGT